GTAGATGCTACATATAGATGTAAACTAAATTTAAATTCATTTTGTAAATACAGATTTAAACCAAATCCTTAGAAACATGGTAGCAACCAGTCTGGTTAAGTTCTTAATTTAAAGTAGTTCAATAACTTCTGAAAATTGATTTGATGTTTGTTGTTCTCATGTAAAGTTTAAACAAAAACAATCCTGGATAGATGGAAAGAAAAACAAATGGTGATCAAAGTTTGTTCGTTCACTGCAACCAGGTATATCAACCATGTTCTCGCTTGTTACTCCGGTTTAAATAAATGATTACAAAGCCCAGTCGAATTGTAATCAAGACCCAACATTTCGACACTCCAGTCTAGTGTCTTCAGGGGTGATCTGAAGTTACAATCGTTGGCTTCTTAAATACCCAAGGGATGACGTCACCTGCCAATGAGATGCATGTATCCCTCTGGTAAATAGGCACCGTCATCCCTATTCAAAGCATGATTACTCATATTTATATGCCATGCTTCTAGGCATAGTCTTTGACTAGTGTGGCATATAAATGAGTAATCATCCTTTGAATAGGGATGACAGTGCCTATTTACCAGAGGAATACATGCATCTCATTGGCAGGTGATGTCATCCTTTGGGTATGTAAGAAGCTACATTGCAATTTTAGATTACCCCTGATGAAGACACTAGACTGGAGTGTCAAAACATTGGGGTTTGATTACAATTCAAATAGGCTTTGTAATAATTTATTTAAACCAGTGTAGCAAGCAAAAACATAAATGGTGATCAATCTTTACTGCAAACACTAGTCACCAAAAGTGGTAAAAGACATTGGACCTACTATGTTTTCCAACTGTTAATTTAATACTTGAATTAAATTGCCCAATGTGTTCATAAAAGTTTTTTTATTATAACCTGGTGTTAAACAGATGCTTGCCCAGTCACTCTTTGCTACCACATTACTAGGGATGCGATTTAAAGTCTGATATGTTCTTAAAAGACATTAATGAATCTTCTAAGAGTAACCAACAGATAATGTCGATAATATCAAGTTTTAGGTGTCCTTGTTATACACCAAACTGAAATAAGAACAATGTTTTAAAGATACATCATTACTTTCCCCTAACAGCAGTTTGTGTATTCTTTCTATACAAGTACTTTAAGCTTCAGAAGCTCACAGTACTCATTACATCTATGAATGAGTTTAAATTTTGCAATTGCTTCAAATGACAAATTCCCTGTGGTAAAAAGTAATTATTTATTTTCATCAAAGAGGGAAGATGATGCAACTTCTGGGTCTACAAGGGAGTAGCCACATCCTTGGATATCTAACACCATTACCTGATTGTTGGATTTTTCAAAAGAAAAATGAGAAAGACACTCTGTTTCTGTAATATAACCTCGTTGACATTCTTGCACAATGTGCCATCATTGTTTATATACTTACTAAACTCTCCATCTACAAACTCTTCAACTGTGACAAATTCGTCACCTTTTTTTCCTAAGTAGACACTCCCATAATGAAAACAATCACCAAAAGATTCTTGCATGCCATTTTGCTCAACACTTGTCTTCAGTTGGCTTGCAAAGTTCTGGGCTAAGCTGTGCATTTGTACAACCTTCTTTGTATGGGTTTCGAGAGTTTGATTGGACTCAGCAATGACATCCAATGCATTTTCATTATATTCTTTGACTACCCATGAACCAGCAAAGCTCTCATCTTTTGATTCTGCTTTATAAGCTTTTCGGAATGCACCTTCTCCGAGCACATCTTCTGAAACACTAAATTCAACTGCCCTTGGTGAAGACGACCAGCTCATATCTGCCAAATTAAATCCATACAAGTGGATGGTAGTGGTAGACTTGTTTATAAGTTTACCTAGTTTCAACATATGGGTTACCGAGAGACTCTTGGGCATTGGTGTTGAGATTTTAGCTTTTTTTGGACTTGGAACAGAGTTAGGGCCCTTTCGCTTTACAGTTGTGCTTTGCGGATGAACTGGGTCAGTATCATCAACGAATACAGGCGCATCTGCTGTCGAGCTTTTGTTTATGAATCTGACGTATATAAGATTCATATTAGGTATTTGCTTCAAGGATGCGCAGGAAGGTCCTTGCTCACCGGCAAGAATATCACATACAACATTGTTTCCAACCTTCGGTTCAAAATGTTTCAGGCATGCATCCTTCACTCGTTCAATTGTCATCTCTTCTTTTGTATAAAATCGATCTAGATCTTCATCGTCGTCGTCATATAACTGGACAAATTCCCTTTGGCCGATACGTGAATACTTTTGGGCCTTGCCCGACACGTCCGCGCTTAACATTTGAACAGTTATTTCACGTTTGGAAACATCTTTCCCTTTTTGGCTCTTCCCACTCAAGCGTTTTTTTTTCATATCTTCTTTGAACTTTCGCCATTTCTCCGCCATGTTGCTTTCCGCGCGGGCAAAGGTTCATGGGATGTTATGATAGCGCTCGGCCACTGCTCGGCTCATGGGAATTTCTCTCGGGTCGCTGTGCATTATGGTAGTGGCAGCCCTCGGCCATGGTGAAATTCACTTTTACTTTGTAATTTTAATTGTAAATCAGTATTTTGTATTTCATTTTAATTTACTTTTATTTTTCATTTTAATTTATTTTTATTTTTCATTTTAATTTATTTTTATTTTTCACTTTAATTAAAAAAAAATTATAAAGAATATTTTGGTAGTGGCAGCCCTCGGCCATGGTGAAATTCACTTTTACTTTAATTTTAATTGTAAATTATTTTGCATTTCATTTTAATTTATTTTGTATTTCATTTTAATTTATTTTGTATTTCATTTTAATTTATTTTTATTTTTCATTTTAATTAAAAAAATAAAAAGTAAAAAAATCTTTAAAATAATGTAAAATGTACAAAAAAAACGAGTGGCAACGCTCGGCCACCATACATGTCAAACTGTAGATTCTTATAGCAACAAACAAGTCAGAAAATCAAGCAACGAAAACGTATGATCGTATATGCTTGGAAATATTTGCCCTTTTATTGTCTCACGGGGTTCGGGCGCAGTTTCATTTCACGCGAACGTTTCTGTATCTGGCTCTGGTTCAGATATGTATAATATTCTTATAATGTGCCATTGAATTGTTGTCATATGGAAACGGTATAAATTTTGTTAAATAGAGGTCTCAAAAGCGACTGTGTAGGTCGTAGGCGCTACGCCTTGCTGGTCCTGCAGTAAATGTTGCATATTTGGACGTAGCCAAATAGACATTGAATGTCCATTCTATTGATTCTAAAATGGTTTATAGACATATGGTGCTCTAGATTTTTTTAAAAAGGTTATCATCGTTTATATTCAACACAAGGTAGGAAGGAGTGTTAACGTACATGTACAAAATTGTTTGGGATCAACAGTAAAGAATTATACGACAATTCACAACTGTATGCATTTCCTTTTTTGTCTGCACGAGTACCTGTTTGTTGAAGCCAAAATAAGATTGCACAGAATCTCCGATATGAATTATATACAGCCATTCACCCTCGCCCCTTGAATGCAAAGGAATGATAGCCGAAAAGGTTTAGCAAAATATTTTTTATTATATCTGGTATAAAGTGTCCCTATACGTTTTATCAGGGATATATATACATAATTCAGAAACTGTATATATGCGCACGAAGTCCAGCTCATAGAATTACTTAATTAATGAGTTTTAAGAAGCCTTTTAAAGTTTCCATTGATAGATAGGTTGTTTGCTTCTAGTATGGTTTGGTGAAACTGCTAAAATGTCATACAGTATACGATAAAGATTATTTAAAGTTGATTTAAATATTGATGCGCACAGCAGCATTATACAAGTAGTCGAAAGAAGCTGTCGTGTTATTCTTCAAATATAAAGCCCTGAATGGGCAATGGGAATGAAAGGTCTTTATAAGGTTTATAAATTAATGTACCTGCTGTAAATTACTGTAACACACAAAATATGAAATAATTTACTATGAAGTACAATACCAGTGTCTGGTGCATATATCGTCCTAAATATTCAAGTTATATGTACCGCACGCACGGAAACGCACCAGGGCATTTTTTAAGAATTCGTCAGTGGGGGGGCCATCTACAAAAAGGGACCATACTATACCGAGTGTGGAGCAATGATAGATGGTTTGTTGGTAACAAAAAGTTTGGTGTGGTATCGCATTTAATAGTAGGGGGGGGGGGGAGCAGGGCCGTAGGAAGCTCTTTTCGTTTGGGGGGGGGGCTGAAAGCGAGGGCCGAAGGCCCGAGGAAATTTTTAAATTTAGAGTCTCTGAAATGCCATTTCCTGGACTTTGGAGAAGATTTGACAGATTTCTGATTGTCAGAAAACAACGTTTTTAGTAGTGGAAATTTAGAATTCAGTAGTACTAAATGGACAAATGGACGAAGGTGTATTTAATTAACGATATATTGGATAAGTTGCAGGAAAGTATGGATAATATCTTCATTCTTTGCAGTTTGTCATGGATTAAATAATAAAGGTCTGCATGATTTTGAAAAATAAATGATTATTAGCAAATTATTGGGGGGGGGGGCTGCAGCCCCCCAGCCCCCCCCCCGGTTGCTGCGGCCCTGGAGAGGGTCTGGGGTTTTCTCCCCCAGAAAATGTTTGTATTTTTCTACCCCTATGGCTGCAATTTCCTGCATTTTCTGAAACAGATTTTTGGATATACAGCATTACATTATGCTGTAGATAGACTGAACCTTCAGTTAAGTACTTGCATAGTATGTTTATGTAGATACCACAACTTGGCCGTCACTTAGGGAGCCAGCTTGATAAACTTAGAGTTCCCGACTCCCACGAAGCGCCACCATGGTTGGCACAGAGCGAAATATTTTGAAAATTTTGCGTCTCTAAATCATCGGAAATGGCATTTTCAAAGTCTTCTATACGTCTTTTGTTTGGCCCTTTCATTAATTCGTTCATTATGATTTGTGAGTCTATGATATCCGCGAGTCAGGATGGATTATTACGAGAAATGTTATCAAAATATCGATTACAGATATTTGATTATATGTATATATGATTTCAAATACTTCTAGTTTCGAAATCAAATTGTTTTTTTTTGGTGGGGGCCAAAATTATCCCCCCCCCTTATAAAACACTTGGTTGAGGGCCTGTTGCCCCCTGCGGTCACTAACTTGTCCAACAACTCAAATCTATAGGGTCTGGGAAATGCAATCCACTGCCTGAGAAATGTTTAAAATCTAATAAGGTATTTATTAACCTGAGTATCAGGTTAGGTATTTATTAAACATAAAAGACAGGACATAAGATTCACAACGCAAATTTCAGTTACTAGAATATCAAACCTCCCTTCTAAATTCCATGTTTTGCTTATATTTTAGAGAAAAGGGACTTTGACTGGGGGGGGCCAAAATGGTTGAGTGGGGGGGCCACCATGGGGGCTGGGGGGGCTTTGGCCCCCCCAGTTATATAGTTAAAAAATGCCCTGTATAATATATACCAACGGCCTTCCAATTCTTTCCACTTTAAAATAAAGGAAATAGCAACTGTAGTGACCAAATAATAAATAAATTAACCTAATGATGTTTGTGATGTTACTCTGAGTATGCATCCACACCGGGCAAGCTGAAAAGTTTGCTTGGCCACGGTGGGAATCGAACTCGCGACCTTTGGGATACTATAGTCCAATGCTCTGTCAACTGAGCTACGTGGTCTAGTCGGTTCGAGTTGTTGATATTTCGGAACTGAATCTAGTTCCCTCGATATCAGTGTAATCTATGATATGAAAAAAGTCATATATAGTCAGTACTATATATATATATATATATATATGTATATATATATATATATATATATATATATATATATATATATATATATATATATATATATATATATATATATATATATATATATATATATATATATATATATATATATATATATATATATATATACATGCACGTTACAACGATGATAAACAGACCATTAATTTAAAATTCATAAAAATGTAATTTAATTTAGTCAGTAAGCATGCAACGTGCCTCAAATGATAGGAAAGGATCAATCGATTCAGAAGTCAGAAGTTAAGATAATATTGCTCAAAATGAAACACCCATGAACTAAACTGTACACATATATTCAAAATATATCAAGCGTGCAATAACTATGTCTACGTACGAAGTAGATTTAATTGAGTCTTAAATTGAGATAGAGAACTAACGTTTGTAACTGAGCTGTTCAAATTGTTGAAGTCCATCGAAGCGTAGTAAGTCGGTCTAAGTTTACCCCAGTTCGTGTTGGCTTACCCCAGTTCGTGTCGGCTTTTATATATATATATTGTTAATGGGTGTCTATTAGCGATAATGCAAAGCTCACCTCCCTTGTGGTTGTTTGAGCATTCTGGCCCCATTACGCTCTGCGCATGTCTGGATGCGTTGAGTCACCGTGTGGTACCACATGCCTTGGTGAGAGCAAGTTCATGGGGTATAAATACGAGTGTCTCACGTATCTAGACGCGTACCAAGCTGCACTGACGAGGCGTTGAACGCCGAAACATGCATGTCTGCAGATTGTACTATTACGCTCCTTCACTTCGGTGTTGTTGAGCACTCTGCGGAGTTGTTAATGGGTGTCTATTAGCGATAATGCAAAGCTCACCTCCCTTGTGGTTGTTTGAGCACTCTGGCCCCATTACGCTCTGCGCATGTCTGGATGCGTTGAGTCACCGTGTTGTACCACATGCCTTGGTGAGAGCAAGTTCATGGGGTATAAATACGAGTGTCTCACGTATCTAGACGTGTACCAAGCTGCACTGACGAGGCGTTGAACGCCGAAACATGCATGTCTGCAGATTGTGCTATTACGCTCCTTCACTTCGGTGTTGTTGAGCACTCTGCGGAGTTGTTAATGGATGTCTATTAGCGATAATGCAAAGCTCACGTTCCTTGTGGTTGTTTGAGCACTCTGGCTCCATTACGCTCCGCGCATGTCTGGATGCGTTGAGTCACCGTGTTGTACCACATGCCTTGGTGAGAGCAAGTTCATGGGGTATAAATACGAGTGTCTCACGTATCTAGACGTGTACCAAGCTGCACTGACGGGGCGTTGAACGCCGAAACATGCATGTCTGCAGATTGTACTATTACGCTCCTTCACTTCGGTGTTGTTGAGCACTCTGCGGAGTTGTTAATGGGTGTCTATTAGCGATAATGCAAAGCTCACTTCCCTTGTGGTCGTTTGAGCACCCTGGCCTCATTACGCTCTGCGCATGTCTGGATGCGTTGAGTCACCGTGTTGTACCACATGCCTTGGTGAGAGCAAGTTCATGGGGTATAAATACGAGTGTCTCACGTATCTAGACGTGTACCAAGCTGCACTGATGAGGCGTTGAACGCCGAAACATGCATGTCTGCAGATTGTACTATATATATATATATAT